CACGCTGTATTTATATATAAATAAAGAATAATAAACAGAAATCAAGCTGTCAAGCTGTCACCAGTCATCATGCAATCATCATTATTCCATAACAGACCTGCCAACAGCAGTTATGCTCCGTTTTGACCACCACTTTAAAAATATATACAGTACATAAAACATAGAAGCAAACAACAAGTATTATAAACAAACTCCTTTAAAATCAAATAAACACAAAATAGATTATAAATACACTGAGGAAAAAGTATGTCACACTATCACTTCTGCTGTACAGTCTCTCACCTTCAGTTATGGTTTTTCTCAGAGAATCCTCGTCTGATTTAAACCAGTCTCTTTCCTGACAAACTGAAGCAGGAAGTGGACTTGATCCAGAGGTAGGACTTATGTGAGTGTATGAGTCAGAGAATGATTCGACATCAGTGCTGGGAGAAACTGGGCTCTCTGAGTGGCCTTGATCCCCATGGTCAGGGGTCCAGGAGCTGACGTCCTCAGCAGTGGCACTGACAGAGCTGGGCTCTTCACTGACATGTGCTGCATTCAGCTGGGCCCGACCCTCACTCGTCTCTGGAGACGTTACCTGGTTAATATTTTGCTAGATTTAGTTACTATTTTACATTAAAGGAACAGGAAAAAAGGATGATGAAATGACAGAATTTTTATTTATTTTTTGTTATGGCCAAAAGGATTTTGGACATCTGAAGCATTTATTCGAGGAAGGACACCTGAGATAGCTCTGGAGGCTCTGACCCATGGGTGAGAGCTGGGTCAGACTGCAACTGCGTGGATGTCTCTGTCGGCTGGTGAGCAGATGCTTCAGTGGAGTGCTTCTCTAGGTCACTGTGGGCCTCCGGTGAGGCCTCAGGTGCTTTTGAGAGCTGCTCCTCGATCTTAAGACCTTCAGCAACCGGACCAACATTCTCAACTCCAGACACCTGCACATGGAAAGTGCCTCTGTCAAACAAACTTCATCTCTTCTATAATGTTATCACTGATTTGATATCCGACAAAGTGAGTATTCATCTAGTTTAAAAAATTTGCCTATATTTGAATTAATGCTGATTGATGGATTTTCAAAAACATTCATACCTTTTTCAAGAAAAGATTCCATTTAATAAAAATAGTACTTTTTTGTTTTGTTTAGTGTGGTTAGTTTTACTACACAAACCTTGCCTTGTTCTTTTTTCAGTATGGTATCAGGACATCAAGTAATAACATTTATATGCATCCGAAAGCCAAATAAATAAGCTTTCCATTGATGGATGGTTTGTTAGGATAGGACA